GAAGAAGCAAGGGATTTAGTAAAACGTGGTCTGCGTTCCAATCTCCAGAGTTTTGTCTGTACGTTACACAAGTGCATTATATTTTTAAAGGCTGGCACATCTATGGTCTAATTATGAAGTCGGACCGGAAATACGAAGAAGCTATCAGATGTTATATTCAAGCTTTAAAGTTGGATCCAACCAATTTGCAAGTTCTTCGAGATCTTTCGGTGTTACAGATGCACACACGTGACCTCGAGGGTTGCAAGGTAACTGTGTCTTTCTCGCCTTCAGTGTGTACCAGGAAACTAGAACTAAACTGCTTACTCAAAGACCGAGTCAAAGGGCTTCGTGGGTCGGCTATGCTGTGATACAACACTTTCTCGGGAACCTGGATGCCGCTGCGAACGTTGTCAATGAGTTCCTTAAGGTGCAGACGGGCATTGAACCCTACAATTACGAGCATAGCGAATTGCTCCTGTATTACGTAACCATCTTGGTCGAAAGCGAGCGTTTTGAAGAGGCCCTTTCGTTTATGGAGTCATGTACGAAGGATATAGTGGACCATGTCACTTACTTGGAAACTCATGGTGTGTTGTTTATTCATTTTATAATTTCTTCACAGCTGATTTGTTGTTTAAGCTAGGTAGAGCCAAAGATGCTGAAAAGGACGTTTGGGATTTGTTAGATAGAAATCCGGAAAATAAATTATACTATGAACTCCTCTACCGCATCGAGTCTCCTGAACCTGGCGATCAGCAAATAGACGTCTCAATTAAATATAAGATGCTTCAAAAATGTTTGGACAAATATCCTTCTGCAAGGCTCCCAAAGCTCCTCTTTCTTGATTTGTTAGAAGGTAACCATAGATTTGTGACTTCGATTGCAAGGCGACGAGTTTTTATCAAAGGCCCATGAATTCCTTCAACATAATTTGCGGAGGGGTGTTCCGACGCTTTTTGTTCAACTCAAACGCTTTTACAGTTCACCGGAAAAAGTTGCATCACTAGAAAACTTGTATCTTACTTACCGGAAAAATCTTGATTTGCATGAAACTCTTGGACCAATATCTGGTGTTGGGCCGAAGTCAAAGTCAGAGGAGTGTATACCGGAACCGCCATCAACCTCGCTGTGGTTGAATTATTTGCTCGCA